TTACCCATTCATTTACCCACACAGCCTTTTCTAAACACTGGTCTAAATAAATTGGATATGAAGTCTGGATGCTAAGCAGGCATCATATGATCTTTGTTTCGTTCTGGCAAACGAAATTTGACAAAAAACACAGTCGATAGCAAAGCTCCCCTGATAACCTAAACACACTGGCACGCAAGGACACACACACACATATTCGCACATGTCTCAGTGGATCATATTTGCCAGCAAATCCATATGATTGTAACATAAACACAGTGATGCACAAAGAGGGAGGTCTGGGCCTTGTAGGCACCTGAGTGTTTGCAGACATGAAGGTGCGCGTTTGTGTGTTTTCTTTCGCCCAATCCCCTCGTGTGTCAGAAAGTGATTTCATCCCGCTCCATACAAGCTGCTTTTGTCGAGCCATCGCATCTTACTCACCACCTCCCCACCCCGAGCACATTTAGAAGAACAGATGAATAAATGGACGAGGGGGGAAAAAAACAGTAGACTAAAACCACAGTGGAACTCAGCGATGGTCAGCCAGGCCCACCACGCCTCAGCAAATGTTTGTCCAAACCTGTTATTTCTGGCATTGTACTGTCTCAAAGAGATCATTTTATTCTCTGAGAGGAATGCAGCAGCTATAAATAGTCTGGAGATGAAGGAGGGGAAATCAGAGATTTGTAGAGTAATTACAGAGTCAGAGTTGAACCCTTCTGTTACGGCTCATTTTTCATCAACCTCTGTCTCCACGACTGTCTGACTGAGTGACCGACTGAGGTAAAAACGGGCCCTTTTTTCAATGGGAATGCAAGTCTGACCTGATATTTGACCTCCATTTTTATTTCTTCCATGCCTGTTATTTACTCTCTACCTCTTGTTTGTCACAAAACCAAGAGTGGATAGATTTGAATCTCTGTGAGGCACAACTGATTTTATTTTGGAACACTCACCTCAGTATTCATAGTCTGAAATAAACAAACAGAAAATGCTGCTTTTTGTCATTTTCATATCAATACGTTTGATGACAAATAAGCTACCTCCAAACCTTATATTCCAGATTAAAACCAGCCCTCTTCCTCTGCATTTGGCAAAGCCTGAACCCCTCCAGCGCGAGGCTCATTTTGGGCCAAATTACTCACTCCGATGTAAGACAGATGACACAACGAATATTGCATTTGAACGTCAAGTCAGCAGTTTGTGTCTGATTCAGACTCATCTGAGGTCATTTTTGTTTAATTTAAGTCAATTGAAGGTTGAAATGATCGCAAAACATATATACAT